TGCAATATAATTACAGGTATGAAATCACATATATCCTACTACATTTGTTATTTTCTCTCCTTTTTTTTTTTGGAAGAGGGTCCTGGAGATTGAGCCCAAAGCCTTCACACTGAGCTACATCCCTAGCCTTTTCTATTATTCTTAAAATTAAAAACAAAGTCTACCCCAGTGCGGTGTCGCTGAGCTAAATCCCTAGCCCCATTATTTTTTATTTTTAATTTTGAGACAGGATCTTGCTAAGTCACCAAGTTGCCCAGGCTTGGCTCTAATACCTGCCTCAACTTTCCAGAGCACTGGGATTATAGACATGTGCATTATGCCTGGTTTATATTCTCTTGCAAAAGTTGTTGGTTATTGGTTCTTCCCACAGCTTATGCAAAGGTGTTGGGAGATGTGGGGCCTCTGGAAGAGTCTGATTCCTCCCAGGCTATTTTAAAGGGCTTTATTTTGAGATGAGGGCTTTGAGCTGAGGCGTCACCTGTTTCAACATGATTTAAAAGGATACTCTGGCTGCCATGTTGGCATAGATTGAAGGAGCAGAAATGGACACATGGGCTGGGTTAGGAGTGCTGGGGCTGTTACTGGACCAAGGCTGACATAGTCCCCTCTCACTTCTTAAGAGTCCAGAGCCTCCCAAGGGATAGAGGGATTCCTCTCTAGGAATACTTAGCCCTCCTTTCCAACATTTTTCAAGTCCTGTCCTCCCCTGTCCTTAAGGTGTCATCCGTCTAACACATTTTTCAGCCCACTAGAGCAGACAGCTCTTGGACAAAATATTTATTGAATCTTCTGTGAGTTTAGCCTGCTGATAATACAGGAAATGTAAAGAGAAATAAGACACAGTCCCTGTGCTGGAGAAATTTATGGCCCAGTAATGGTGTGTTAGTCGGGTCTTTGCTGTTATGACAAACACCTACAATAAGCAATTTAAAAGGCGGAAAACTTTATTCTTGGCCAGAATTTCAGCGGTTTGAGTCTCTGATTGCTTTGGCCCTATGGTGGCTCAATGTTTAAGGAGCATGTGATGGAGGAGGCCTGTTAATTCTATGGCAGCCAGGAAGCAACAAAAGACAGGAAGGAGCCAGGGTTCTGATATCCCCATCAAAGACATGAGCCAGTGACCTAACTTCCTCCCACTAAGCCCTACTTCCTAAAAAAATAATAATGCTGCAAGACTGGTGACCGAGCCTTTAGCAAATGGATATTCAGGAGACATTCAAGTCCCACACAGTAACAGACATGCTGCCATAGATGAGACCCACGGTCTGCACATGAACAAAGAAAGGAGGTTGAGGGGGCACAGGCATATCTACGGTATCTGAGAGGCACCTAGGCCTCATGATAGAAATTAACAGGCTAACATTGTTAGGTTGGAGTTGTCTCTACTCACACCCACCTCCCACCTCCACCAAGCCATCAGGGAGCCTTCTGTTTGCCATATTAATGTCTACTTGTAGCCAGAATTAGGTGCCATTTTGCAGCCTTTATGTCTGCAAGAGCTGTCCATCCTATATAAATACAAAGTGAACAACATGTGTAAACGTTTCTAATAGCCACATCCAAGAGTTTGTATTAATTTTAATAATTTATCTCAATATATCCAAAATATTATCATTTCAGTATGAAATCACATAAAAATTACTACTGAAATACTTGAAAAAATAGCTTTCCTTGTACTCAGTCCTAGAAGTCTTGGTCTATTTTATGATTATAGTGCATCTGAATTTGGATGCCGTGATGATGGTTAATCTGGACTGTCAACTTGATTGGATTGAGGTAGCCTAGACAGGTTTTTGGATCGTGAGGATTAATCCATCGATGAGTTAGTTTATAACTAAACCAGCTCCTGGGGCTGTGGTTGGAGGAATTAGATCCCTGGGAACATACCTTATCATACTCATGGCCCTTTTTCCTCTGGCTCTTGCTTTTTCTGCTTCCTGGCTGCCATGAGGTAAGCAGCTTTCCTCCCTCCTGCCCTTTTGCCATGATGTTTCTGCTTCAAGTGATGGAGCCAGCTTACCATGAAGTGAAACTTCTGAAACTGTGAGTCAGAATAAATCTTTTCACCTTTAAATTATTTATGTTGGGTATTCGGTCTCAGCAACAGACTAGTGACTAATATAGAGGCCAGGTTCTTATTGAAAATATGTGGCTTGTATTTAGATTTCACAAGGTTTACATTGAAAAAGTGGATTCACAAATCTAAATTGTCTCACACATACTTAAATTGATCCAATAACTTAATGGAGTATCCCTTTTAATGTTCATTTAAAAATTAGTTAAGCCGGGCATGGTGGCTCACTCCTGTAATCCCAGCACTCAGGAGGCTGAGGCAGGAGGATCGCTGTGAGTTCGAGACCAGCCTGGGCTACATAGTGAGTTCACATCAGTCTCAACTACATAGTGAGACCCCGTCTCAAAAAACAAAAAAACAAAAATAAAAATTTGTTAAAATTAAAGTAACTCCTAGTTCTTAGTCACAACAAGCCACATTTCAAATACTCAACACCCCCATGTAACTGGTGACCACATATGATAGACCTCTTTTGCCTGGTTCCCAGTTTCCCCGCTGGGACTTGGCCTCCTCTAGTCACCCAGAGTTACCCAGATCCTCTGCCATTAGCTTCTCCTACACCTCCAAATGACCACTACCCCTGTCTCACACACCTTTCCTGTCCTTCTTAGTTTACGATCTCTGCATGAACATCTGTGTACCAGAGGCCCAATTTGCATACTAGTTACTTATGTTCCAAACTTTAAAATCAGAGAGGCATACCCTCTGCACAAAATGGGAAATAATTTTCTTCTTAACAGCTCCTGAAAAGGTGGAATGTTTTGAGGAGCTCATGGATGTGCAAGACAAGAAGCACCTCTGCTATTAGTAAGGAGAACAAAGAAGATGTCAGAGGATGGGTGGTAGTGTGGGTACTTGTTCGGGGGAGGACTTTACGCATACAGTTCATTGTGTTAGAATGATTCGGTTGTTAAATAAGCACCTTAAGGGATCATTTCACATTTCATACTTTTAAATGTTTATAATTTAAATTCTTTCCCCAGGGCTGGATTTTTTCAAGCTTCAGATTTCTGGCCAGAATTGGCTTGATTTTCATGACCCCACCTCTGAGATTTAGCCTTGCCCCTTAGGGTACCTTCCTTGCTGATAGTCACCAGGAGTCTTCTGCTGGCTGTCCACTTTCTGAGCTGTGCGCTCTGGGCAGCCACCCACCTCTGGCCTCCCACTTCCTGGATATGAACCCAGCCATGTGCTGTTGCTGAGAGAGGCTGGGATAATCCTCCCTGAGGATGAGACCTGCTGCCCTGCACACAGCTCCCACACAAGTGGGATTTCAGGGCTGTGGAAATGCCAGGGAAGGGAGGGGTGCAGCATTTGTAACACAGGGGCAGACAGTGGGCACTGGAGTTAGGTTCCAAGTCTCATAGTGTCATGGTACATGGAGTACAGCAAGATGAGCTATGGACTTGAAGTCTAAGAGCTAGACAGCTGAGATCCTGAAGTCCTGGGTCCTCAGTGTCTTCCTGGAAATACACACACACACACACACACACACACACCTCTTCTTTACCTCCTTAGTCTTACACAATAACTCATTATGACTTTGTAGACTAGGCATTGCTTTAGTGCCGTCTTCCTAAGTTAAAAAGTATTGAATTATATTTTATAACTGTGTTGGTATAGAGCTAAATATATTGATATTATATATTAAAATATCTTCTTCCATCCAAAGTTCATTTTTTTCCCCTTCTGGTTTTAATTATCATCTTTCTGTGAGTCCCAGGCACTTTGCCTGTGCCTGATGAATCCCAGCCTGGCCTGTAGCACCTGCTTAGCTCCCGAACTCCTGCAGAGAAGGTAAAAATAGGGTTGGTAGGAAAGGTCTAAGGTCTTTAGGTGGGTCGTTCTGGGCTCAGAGAGGATGCACAAGCTCCCTGATCCTCTTTCTCCTTTTTCACTTGGGAGCAGGTACAACCCCAAAGAGGAAGAATTCATGGCTTCCTGATCCCTTCCTGCCATCCTGAGCCACTGACTTTAGATAATTCTGAGCAAATCTAAAGGAGGCCAATTTGAACACTGGAGATGGACAGCTTCTCTCAAGGCCATTGGCCGTCCCTCCAGGGTGCAGCACACTCTGCTCTGGGGCAGACTCCTTTCTAGGACACGCAGGAATTCTTTGAGAGGTAGTGTGATACAGTGACTCAGAGTTCTTATTATTAAGAGGTGGGTTTTAAGTAAGGTACAGTGGTACACACCCAAAGTCTCAGCTACTTGGGAGACTGGGACAAGAGGATTCCTGGAGTTCAAAGCCAGACTGAGCAATAGAGCTGTACCGCATTTCAGAGAATAAAGTGGGAGGATAGGTTCTTAAACTTCTTAAGCCTCATTTTACTCCAATGGAAAAGGAGTGATGGTAACATTTTCCTCACCAACTTATAAGAATTTTTTTTTATTTTTTAATCGTCATATTTTTCTGCCAAGATACAGGAATGCATGATAGAAATGGCTCAACATCTTCACATGGAACTGTTGGATTCGTTTTCATTCACAAGTTCTAAAACAGCCTACAATTTCATAATCACACCCACTTCCAACCATTATCACAGGTTTAACTGACCATTAAACAGTAGTGGCCAGCATCAGAGAGCTGGAAGGCTTTCTGCATATTAGTAGTGTCTTTGGAAACTGCCACCCAAGAGGATGTATCACGATTCTAAATCTCATGTGCATGGCAACCCCAAAGTTGACTGAGGTCCTCAAATGCCCTGCTTATCACGGAGAGCTGCATCCTGTAGGTACTTAAAGGAATGCCCTTTCTCCTCCTAGAATTGATCATTCATGTAGTATTTGGCTTGCAGGAAACAGCACAAGCTGACCCAATGGTTTCATCATCATGGCTAACAGGTGGCTGTATGCCTGATCCTCGCTGCTGCTCTTTGCTAACTATATACAGAACATACTGGAAAAAAAGTCAGGTTGCTTGGGAAAAAATATGGAACGCTTCACAAATCTGCGTGCCATCCTTGTACAGGGGCCATGCTAATCTCTGTATCATTCCAATTTTAGTATATGTGACGCCAAAGCAAGCACTTATAAGAATTAAATATTGTGCATCTATGAGTAGTTTTCATACAACAAAGCTCGGTAGAGCTGTTAGGAAATGAGTTTATATGGGGAAATAAATAAACCTACAACATCTCCCACCTCTTCTTCCACAGACAGATACTCTAACGTCACTGAGACTGCATGAGTATATTATGAAGCACATAGGCTAGCACGAGTGGGAGCTCCCAAGATGGTATATCATAGTCCCGTTCCTCCTCACCTCTCGAATCTCATTCCCACCCGCTCTGCTTTTCATCATCGCCGAACTGCCTGTGGCCTTGTGGAGTGGGAAAGACTCCACATTCACCTGTGTATCTCTCACTTCCTGATGACCATGGCAGAAACTGACTAGCTCTGTGTCTTGGGTCCATAGTGCACTACATTTCCCAGCTGCCCCTGCAGTGGGAGGTGGACATTTAAACAAGCAGTAGCCAATGGAATAGACACAAGAGTGATAGACACTGTTTCCAGCAAACCCACCCCATGCCCTTCTCCCTGCTCTTCTTTGCTTCGATCGAGCACAGCAATTTTGGGTCCCATGCTAAAGGCTCAGAACCATAGATAGAAAGAACCTGGGTCCCATGATGTAAAGTATCCTGCAATGTCATCTGTTGATTTGGGTGTACTATCAGTGAGAAGTAAATCTCCATTCTATTTAGACCTTGTATCTATTTATGTATGTGTTCATAATAACAGCATGTTCTCAAACACCCTGGCGCCACTCCCTCCATCAAGACACACGTCATGTCTGCTTCCCCACCTGTTTGAAAGCTCCTGGCAAGATGTCAGCCAAGGTGTGCTGAGAGACTGGTGACAAAGGAAAGACCAGGTCTTCTTCACCCTGCAGCCGCCAAAAGGAAAAGTCACCCCAGGAGGAAGCACAGGAAGTGCTGTGGCCCCGCCCCTTCTCCACTATCCCTGGAGCAGTGGTTCTGAGGTCTCAGGCTTTTCTAAACTCTCATGGTCTCTGATTCCACCTCATAGCCCCACAAATCTCATACCAAGGAGGATGTGAAAGTTTAAGACATGGTACTGGCCCTGTATCAGTGTGACAGGGAACCATGAAGGAGAATACTAACTAGTCCTCACAGCACTTCTCATGCCCTGACATCTCACTTTCAAAAATTGAGATGAAATTCCCATAAAATTATCCATTGAAAATGAACAGTCACTGGCATTTAGTGCATTCATATGCTGTGCAACCCATACACCTGTGCAGTTCCAGGGCTTATTATCACCCAAATCGAACCTTCTACCCATTAGACAGCCACTTCTAATACTCCTCTCTTCCCAGGCCATGGAAACCACCAATCTGCTTTCTGTCTCTACAAATAAACCTATTCTGGACATTTCATATTAATGAAATTATATAATGCATGACCTATTTTGTCTAGTTCGTTTCCCTTACCATAGTGGTTTTTAGGTTCATCCACATAGAAACATGTATGGCTACTTATAGCTGAGTAATATTTCATTGTATGTTTACAATTTGTTTACCCATTTATCCATTCATTTTTTTCTTCTTGTGGTGCTGGGGATTGAACCTAGAGCCTTGTGCATGCTAGGCAAGTACTCTAATGTTGAGCTATACCTTCAGTACCTCAGGCATCATTTTAAACACTTGAGATTATATTGACTTGTTTAAGCCTCATTATGCGGACGGTTATGGATTCTAAATGTATAGAAGAGGAAACAAGTAGCATGCTGCCATCACACAGATACTAAGCACAATAAAGACTCCAGCCAAGGCAGTCTAGTCCCAGAGGCCTTGCTCATAACCATTATGCTTTACTGCCTCTCAGAGAACATCCCTACACAACATGTAGTGGGATCCATTGTCTGGTGAGGCCTTCGGGACTGTAGATTTCACAGAAGTAGGTGGTCCCTCAGCACTTCCTACGGAGGTCAGTCCAAGGTCCAACTCTGGGCAGCTCAGTATGGTGAGGTACTCTGGCATGGGATCCATGGTGTTTAATAAAACTGGCTCTGGTGCCAGTGATGGGGTCACCCAAAGATTTCTTACCTTTGACTGCAGAGCACAGTGCTCCCTGGACAAACTTTATGGACTCAGGCATTTAGACACCTAAGCAAGAGAAGGTGGCTGTATTTTCTACCTGTCTTCATCTGTCTATTTGTCTGTTAGGAGACTTTCTATTTTCCTTTCTCCGGGCATCTTTGAGAATCTCCCCAAAAAGCAATGTGTCTTGGAGAAATTTAATGCTGGAGGGAAAATGGTCTCCAGAGAAGTGCTTGTTCCAAGAACAGTGGCACCAGGGCTAAAATTGGAAATGATTTCTGTGACATTTTCAGTCTTGTTTCTAGCTTTCTTTCTGTGGAGCTGGAGCTCAGGACATTGCCATACTCTCTTCACACCTCCAGGAGGAATTTCTTTTTTTATATATTTTTTATTGGTACATTTTAGATATACAATACAGTTACATTCATCTTTGGTATCTTTTTTTTTATTTTTTGGTTGAGACTGACTTGGAACTCACTGTCTAGCCCAGTCTGGTCTTGAACTCACAGTGATCCTCCAGCCTCAGCCTCCCCAGTGCTGGGATTACAGGCGTGCACCACCGCGCCCCGCTCATCATTGGGATCTTGTTCCCCTACATGACATATCTTGGTTCTTATTCTCTTCCCATTCCTCTAGCCTCCCTTCCCCCCTCCACCCTTCCATATTTACAAAGACTCTGTTTCCATTTCTTTTTTCTCTTCCCCTTTTACTTTTCCCCAACCCCTCCCATTTGCTCAATACCTTTAGACCTTTTCTTCCTATTACAAAATATCAATTATACATTTGGACCCTTATTTACACTTTTAGTTTGTCACACCAGAGAAACTATATGGTATTTACACATCTGTCCTATTAATTTCACTTAAGAGCGTGTCCTCAATGTGCATCCACTTAGCTATAAATGTCTCTAGTTTCTCATTCTCTATGGCTGAGTAGTATTCCATTTTATTTTTAAAAGACAACCAAAAAAAAACAAAAACAAAAACACATCTTCTTTATCCAGTCTCCAGTTGATGGGCAATTGGGCTGTTTCCAAGTTTTAGCTTACAAACTGTGCTGCTATAAACATGGATGAGCATATATCACTGTAATTTGATTCTTTTTTTTTTTTTTTTGGTACTGGGGATCAAACTCAGGTCCTGTGGTTGCAAGGCAGTCACCAGAACTACTGAGCTAAATCCCCAGCCCTTGATTCTTTATTCTTTTGGGAAGATACCCAGCAGGGGAATAGCTGCATCAAATGGGACTTCCAATCCTAGTTATTTAAGGTATCTCCATATTGATTTCCACGGTGGTTGCCCCAGTCTGCAGTCCCACCAACAATAAAGAAGGGTTCCTTTCTCCCCACACCCCCTCCAGCATTTGTTATTGGTTGATTTCTTGACAGCAGCCATTCTTTCTTGGGTGAGGTGGAATCTCAGTGTTGTTTTCATCTGTATCTTTTAAATAACCAGTGATGTTGAACATTTTTTCATAAATTTATTTGCTGCTTTTACTTCTTTGTCTGAGAAATGTCATTTCATTCATTTCAGATGCCCATTTTTGAACTGGGTCTTTATATTTGGGGGCTTGATTTTTTGAATTCTTTATATATTCTAGATAGTAGACCTTTGTCTGACAAACAGCTGGTAAAAATGTTTTCCTGCATTATAGGTTGTCTCTTAGCTCTGTTGGGGTTTTCTCTTGAAGTGCAGAAGCTTTTTTAAAAGATGAGATCCTAGTTGTTGATTCTTTGTGCTAGTTTCCATGCTACTGAGAATTTGTTCATAAAGTCTTTTCCTCTGCCAATGTCTTCAAGAGTTCTACCTAGCTTATCTTCCAACAAGTTTAGTGTTTCTGTTTTAATATTTAAATCTTTAATCCACTTTGATTTTAGTTTAGTTCATGGTGAAAGATAGGGGCCTAGTTTTAGTCTCTGGCAAGTTGAAATCCAGTTTTTCCAACACCATTTTTTAAAGAGGCTATCTTTCCTCCATTGAGGATTGTTAGCTCCTTTGTCAAAGATGAGGTAGCTGAGTATGCCTAGAGTTGTTTCTGCAACTTCTAATCTATTCCACTGATCCTCAGGTCTGTTTCTTTGCTGGTGCCATGCTGTTTTTAACACAGTAGCTTTGTAGTATAGTTTCAAGTAAGGTATTGTGATACCCCCTGCCATGTCTCTGTTGCCTAGAATGGCTTTTGCTATTTTATGTTCCTTCTGATTCCAAATACATTTTTGTATTGTTTTCTCTAGTTCTGTGAAATATACTGTAGGGATTTCAATCAGGATTTCATTGAATCAATATAGCAGTTTTGGAAGTATGGCCATTTTCACCATATCAGTTGGTCCTACCCAGGAGCAGGTGATATCTTTCCATTTTCTTATATACTCTTAGATCTCTTTTTTCAGAGTGTTGTAGTTCTCAATGTAGAGGTCTTTTGCTTCCTTTGTTTAGGTTAATACCTAGATAGTTCTTTTCTGGGGGGGGTGCTATTGTGAAAGGAATTGTTTCCCTAATTTCTCTCTCATTGAGTCTGTTATTTGTGTACAATTAGGCAATTGATTTTTGAGCAGGAGAAATTTCTGAAGTCAACGCCCATGGACCATAGGAGTCCCAGAGGCTAGAAAGTGTTAGCAGCCTTGGCAAGACTACCAGGGGCTCTCCCTACAATCTATCACTTCCAGGCCAACTTAGATCCCAAGTGGCTTGCAAGAACACATAGGATCTCTTTGTCCATCCAGCCTTTTCTTCTCTTGACTGAGATCAAGGATTTCCATTGCAGCTTGAGGGGTTGTGATTAAATATCTTCACAACCTTGCTTGTAAGAACTCTAAAATCAGGTTTGGGCTGAGCTTGTGAGTAGTCAATAGATAGAGAACTCTTATGAAGTTGAGTATGATTGGTCTGGAGGATGGACTGACTTTGCTGTCTAGTTCCTGCATCACGGGTAATGTCTGGCAGCACTTCTGTGAATAGACACAGCCAGG